GCGGTGCGGCTGTGCGGGAGGAGCAGGGCCGCCTCGCTGGGTCGCTGCTCGGTGCCTGAGGGCCACTTTCCGGGCCACCTGGTGGACGTCGGCGGTACTGGGACCCTGTCCCAGAGCTACCAGTATGAGGTGTGTCTGAGGGGAGGTTCTGGGACCAGCGAGTTCAAGTTCCTGAAGCCGATCATCCCTAATCTGCAGTCCCTGAGCACTGGGAGGGAAGTGGAAGAAAATCCTTCATTTGGGAATGATTTGGGTTTCTGATAAAAAATAAAAAATAAATGCCGGTATTGTGTCTCTAAATATATTCCTAGTAAGAAATTTATCTTGAGTTACCTGTAGAGGAGTGCTTTCCCGTTATTTCAGGTATTCCTAAAGTCACAGAATAAATTTCTTTACACAGAAAAGGATCCAGCTTTAGCCCTAAGAACCCCCAACAAAGCATGGAATGTATAGGTGTCATATTTTAATCTCAAACAATTATGGATTGTGTGCAGTCTATTACATGATAAATCTTGTTTGAGATATTTTAAATTGGTTTTCGTTGTCTTCAAATTGTATTGCTACTTTTATTTTCTGAGTTGATTAGAGTGCTGTACAAGTATACTGACCCTAAGTTTTAGAAGCACAGATTGTAGAGTATCTTTTAAAAAAGCACTTACTATGCATTGTACACTATTTTGACTTTTAATCTTAGAAGTAAACCTATAGAGGAGGTGTTTTAGAAATGAGCAAGTAGATGTTGATAGAGGTTCAGTGAGTTCACTAAGGTCACCAACTAACAAATGGCAGAGCTGAGCATCTTTCCTAGAGCTGTCTGACTCTGGGACCTTGCTATGATGCTGTACTGTTTTTTTGTTTGTTTGTTTTTGTCATTAGATATCACCTGATAAGTTTCTCCCTAATTAAGAAGAAATTTTTTTCATATTCATATTCCTGTTCAGTCTTTTCTGTACCTGAAAATAATACTGTATGTATTGGTCTGTGCTTTTACTTCCTCATAAACCAATAATCCAACTTTTCTGGATCAGTTATTCAGCTATTATTATTAAAGCTCTGATCTAACCAAATTTCAAGTAAAAAAAAATTTGAAAGATCAATCTGTGCTTTCTCCTTGTTATCTGAACGTATGACCTTCATTTCACAGAAAAGATTAATGTCCCTGAATAGAAATATTACTCGATTTTGATTGCATCATTAGTTTATTTTTTTCACATTACAGTAATTTTTCTGCAGTAGTCCCTACCTACTTTTTTAAAACACTTTTTCTTCTTTGATTTGAAAGTTCTTTTTTAAAGTTTCTATTCAATATACTGTAGTGCTGAATTGGGAAAGCATAAGAATAGTTTTATTTATTTTTTTTTTTTTAAAGATTTTTATTTATTTTTTGCCCCCAAAGCCCCAGTACATAGTTGTCTGTCACAGCTGCACATCCTTCTAGTTGCTGTATGTGGGACTCGGCCTCAGGCTGGACAGAGAAGTGGTGCCTTGATGCACACCCGGGATCCGAACCCGGGCCGCCAGCATCGCAGCGCGCGCACTTAACCACCAAGCCACAGGGCCGGCCCAAGAATAGTTTTAAATGTGTAATATAAAGAGAAACAAATTATCATTAGATTACTTAGAGATTCTGGGGAGTTAAGGAGAAGCTTCCTTTCTTATAATCTGGAACTACTTTTTTCTTTAACATTTACTAGATAATTTTTGCAAAGCTTTATTCTGAATATATTATAAGCTAGTGCTGGTAACTCTTAAAATAGTATTATTACTGTGCATTACTAATGGGATATAGTCTAAAGACAAAAACAAATTCACAGCAGTAAAATCTTAAGTTGTTCTCCTAGTGTCAAGATAAAATCATCCAGTTTTTCCAACGAATCAGTGACGTGGGAAAGGGGGAAGAGGGAATTTTATACAATGAAAGAAATTAAGAGACATACCAGCCAAATATAATGCATAGTAGATCTTGATTCAAACAACCATAACAACTTTGAAACGATTGGAGAAATTTGAATATAGATGGATATTAAATAATATTAACCTAATTTCTTAGATGTGGTAATGGCATTGTAGTTGTTTTTTTTTTTTTAATCCTTAAAAGTTAGAGATGTATAATGCAGTATTTATGGGTGAAAATTTAGTTTGGGAAGTGAAAATGTTGGGAAGATAGAGTAAACAATTATGGCAAAATATTGATAATTGTTGAAGCTAGTTATGAGTACTTGGATGTTCTCCATACTATTCTCTTTCTTTATGGGGTTTGATATTTTTCAGGATAAAAGGGTTTTTTTAATTGACATCATAAGAAAAGAAGTGGAGTTAAAACTATGACATCCTTCTGAGGTACTGAATCACCACTACTGCCACAGATTATACCTCTGTTAGACAAACTCTCCAGCCTTACTATTTCATCATTTGACATGGTAACTTCTATCAAAGATAATCCTGCTCGTGCATTCTTCTACCACATGAATCTTGGGTGTTTTTCTAGTCATGACAATGGACTCATGCAAACTCAGCTTCCTGCTGACATCAAATTACATGCCTGGTTTGTGTGTTTATAAGGTTAATCTCTTTTTGCCTCAGTTTCCTCATCTGTAAGGTGGGAAACTTACAGCAGCCCTATGTGGTAGGTACTATTATTATCTCCACTTTACAGATGAGGAAACTGAGGCAAAGGTTAAATAATTTGTCCAAGGTTCATAGCTACTCATTATTCCCATAGTTCATGGCAATAAAAGTATATGATTCTGAAAGTTTTCTATGTTAGTCCAATTACATATATATTTAAAATGTCCTGCATATATTCTTTCTTCTCAGCCACGCTGCTATGTAAGTATTTTCTTTTTGCTCCAAACTCAATTAGCACTATTGAAAGTAGAAAGTCCCTACTAATGTCATTTCTCTTGTGTGGCCCTCAGAGAGTTGTTTGCACCCTAAGATCCGGCGATAATAAAAGTGTTGTAACGTTACATAGCTCCGTGGTACATATAGGCAAGAGTTAGGAATATTGCATCCATTTTGATCCCAGAAAATGTAAGATCCTGTAAGGCCGCGTGGTGGCGCTGCAGGATAAGAAGGTACAAACCGGAACCGCAGCTGCGGCTCCCTTAACTGGCAAACTTACCGGCAGAGCCTAGAAGCCCACGGGAAGCGTGGATGCTGCAGGGGAACTGGGTCCTCTGAAAAGGACAATTCATCGGAGTATTTCTGAGGTATCTTGTGGAATAATCACAGTCTCAGATACTGAGGTCTTTACAGCTCAGCGGAACCATCCTCGCCGGAGGCTATACCAAGTAAGAACAATGGAGGCCAGCAGGAAGCTCATTTGCAGACAAAGGCAAGTCCTTTTCTTCTTTCTCTTCTTGGGTTTATCGCTGGCGGGCACTGAACCTAGACGCTATTCTGTGGTGGAGGAAACGGAAGGGAGTTCTTTTGTAACCAATTTAGCAAAGGACCTGGGTCTGGGGCAAAGGGAACTCTCCAGGCGGGGGGCTAGGGTCATTTCCAAAGGAAACAAAGTGCATTTGCAGCTCGATCAGGAGACCGGGGATTTGCTGCTAAATGAGAAACTGGACCGCGAGGAGCTGTGCGGTCACACAGAGCCCTGTGTGCTGCGCTTCCAGGTGTTGCTAGAGAATCCCTTAGAGTTTTTTCAAGCTGAGCTGCAAGTAATAGACATAAATGACCATGCTCCGGTGTTCCTGGACAGAGATGTGTTGCTCAAGATAGCAGAGAGCAGTCCTCCTGGGACGACGTTTCCTCTGAAGAATGCTCAGGATGAGGACGTAGGCCAAAATAATGTTGAGAACTATATAATCAGTCCCAACTCCTATTTTCGGGTCCTCACCCGCAAACGCAACGATGAAAGGAAATATCCCGAGCTGGTGCTGGACAAAGCTCTAGATCGTGAGGAGGAACCCGAGCTCAGGTTAACCCTCACCGCTCAGGATGGAGGCTCTCCACCCCGGTCTGGCACCGCCCAGGTCTACATCGAAGTCGTGGACGTCAACGATAACGCCCCTGAATTTGAGCAGCCTTTCTATAGGGTGCAGATCCCTGAGGACAGTCGCGTAGGTTTCCTGATTGTCACAGTCACTGCTACGGATGCAGACACAGGAGTCAACGGGGAGATTTCCTATTCACTTTTCCAGGCTTCAGAAGAGATTAGCAAAACCTTTGAGATCAACCCCAAAACAGGAGAAATTCGACTGAAAAACCAACTTGATTTCGAAACTGTTCAGTCCTATGAGGTCAATATCGAGGCCAGAGATGCTGGAAGCTTTTCTGGAAAATGCACCGTTCTGACTCAAGTCATGGATGTGAACGACAATGCCCCAGAAGTCACTTTGTCTGCATTTACTGGACAGATCCCTGAGAACTTCCCTGAGACTGTGGTTGCAGTTTTTAGTGTTTCGGATCTTGATTCAGAAGAAAACGGGAAAATAAGTTGCTCCATTCAGGACGATTTACCCTTTTTCCTGAAATCTTCCCTGGAAAACTTTTACACCCTAGTAACAGAGAAACCTCTGGACAGAGAGACCAGAGACCAATACAATATCACCATCACTGTCACTGATTTGGGGTCCCCTAGACTGAAAACACAGCTCAACATAACCGTGCTGGTCTCCGACGTCAATGACAACGCCCCCGCCTTCACCCAAACCTCCTACACCCTGCGGGTCCGCGAGAACAACAGCCCCGCCCTGCACATC